AGCTAGTGAGCTGGCTTCCTGGGGCCTCCCCTGGTGCTGAGCAGCATGGCCACTTCTGAAGGCCCTTTTGTTTGCCCCTTTATCCAGAAGAGTGGCTACAATTGTGCAGGGTACAAAGCCTCCTTGGGTCTGACTTCCCACACCTGCCTGTGGCCTGGCTGGAAGAGGGTTTCCCAGGCTTGGGGACAGGACGGCAGCCTTCTGGCCCCTCTTAAGCAGCTGGGGACCCAGACCTGCTACCTCTGGACCCAAGACTTATTCATTTAGCTCACACCAGCTCCCCTGCCCCTGCAGCCTTGCTGTTGTCACAGGCCATGAGCTCCCTGGCCCTCTGTTGCCCATCTCTGGACACACCTAGCAAGTAGTTCTTGGGCTTAATTCTCAAGGGAGTAAGGGAGGCTCCAGGAAGATGTGGCATAGTCCACTCGCCACTTGTAAAGCACTTTTGTAATATCTGCTGACAGGAAGGCATCCTGGGGTAGTGGATTAAGTGTGAGCCACCCAGAGGCGGCTGGAGAGTGGGGTGAGGCTAAGGAGAGGGCCAGAGGACATGTCTGCAGGATCCATGAACACAAAGCAGCTACTCTGTGCCAGGGAAGGAACAGAGTGAAGGAGGGAAGAAAGGGAGGGATGGAAAGAAGAAAGGGAAGGATGGAGGAAGAGCTATATCTCTTCTTCCACCACTGTCTCCAGATGTCTTTTTTTTCCCTAAGAATTATTATTTTTATTTAAATTTATTTACTTTAATTTGACCAGAGAGGAGCAGAGAAAGAAGGAAAGTCTGAAAGCAAGCAGCCAGATCTGGGACTCGAACCCCGGTCCTACCTCCCTTAACTACCATGCCACCTGCTGGCCTCTCCAGATGCTTTTAAGCACTAGGGTGCTAAACCCTAGACCCACCCTGCATTCAGCCCTCCCATATTAATGTTTCTCAGAGACTAGTAAGGTTCAAAGAAGTCAGGTGTTTTTCTCAAGGTCTTCTAGCCAGAAGAGGAATTCGAAGAAGAGCACCCAAGCTTGGGCTCTTTACCTCTCTTTGGCAAAGAGGGCAGGGAATGCCAAGCATACTACACAGTCAGAGCTGCAGTGGCTGCTCCTACCTGACTGTCCTTTCCCCTGATTTCTCTGAATACCAGGTACCCAGAATCTCCAGGAACCCAGCCTCAGCTGGTCCTCTGAGAGTGACCACCTTTGCTTGCTGCAAAGGTCCTGGTCTGCCCAGGAAAGAGCCAGAAAAGCTCTTTGCCCTGGTTTGATCTCTTGCCTCTCTTCCTATCTCCTTATCTCCAAGAGAGGGTGCTTCTGGACTCAGCTGCACCCCTGAAAGCATTCACAAAAGAAATAATGGTTTACTTATTGACAGTGGTTCTCACCCAACCTGTTTCTCTTCTGGGCCATGGATGTTGTGAATCAAGGCCTAGTAGTCCTTTCTGGAATCCAGGACATTTCCAGTCCAGGGGCCAGATGAGGTATCAGGCCACGGGGGAGAGTCAGGCCTGTCCAATCTCCCACACGCCAGGAGTCCTTCAGGTGTCATTGTGAGCAAACTCATTTCTGGACTATCTATGGGGACTAAAGCAGCCTAGCTGACACTGTCTTCTCAGTCCTCCTACTCTTCCTTTTTTTATATGCATTTAATTTATATGTTTTTGATATATATAGAGAGAACTCTCTCAACCTAGAGGGCCTATAAATCACTAGCTCACACCAGAGGGAAGTCTTGGGGAATTCCTCTACTCTCATGTTATGCCAGGGCCCAGAGATGGCATGCCACCTGCCCAAGGTTGCATAGCTCAGCATTAAAGCATTATTGTCCCTTGTCCATGGGAATACAAATAATCTAGTTCCTATTTTTTTTTAAAGAGAGATTCTATATATATGCTTGCCAGAGACAGAAAGAAAGAGAGAAATCGCCCCCTAGTAGGGATGGTCATGCTGCAATCCCTTCTCCTTTATTCTCTTGAGATTTTGGGCATGCATGTACACATGCCTGGTACGAGTTTTAAGCCACCAGATCTGGGACTTGAACTGTGGTCGACTACATGGGAATCCAGAAATGTAACCACTTCCCCATCTGCTGGTTCTTCTAGTTATGATTTACTGAACACCTAAATGGTGTTAGTTAGGTCTTATGCTGCTGTATCTGCTGGTCCTTCTAGTTATGATTTACTGAACACCTAAATGGTGTTAGTTAGGTCTTATGCTGCTGTTCTCTTGACATCAACCTTTTAAAATAGATATTACTGGTTCCTTTTATTTTGCATGAGAGAAATAAAACACAGAGAAGTCTAATAACTTAGCCAAGGTCACAGAGCTAAGAAAGAGCAGAGCAGAAATTCAGATGGAGTCTTCTCAACTCTGATCATTCATGAGATCTGCCAGGATCACTTCCTCCAGCTCCCTCCTGCTCAGGACTCATTTGATCACCGACACCCCCCAGAGGCCCCACAGGAGTAATACCTGACTGCCCTTTGCCAGTTTAGACCTGAGCCTCATCATCTTCCTGCTCCTGCCTGAGACAATGCCATTGGTTTAGCCAAGGACCTTGTCCTGTTAGCTCAGGCCTTGTCAATGAGGGAAAAGGAGGATTCTGGGAGAATAGGGAGGTGGGAAGTACTGGGACATCCCTCTGCATTTGTCCACCCTCCAAAGAGCCCTCCTTCTGAGATGTCACAGGAATTTAGCAGTGACAACAGCCCAGGGCAGAGTTGGGAATGAGGAGACAGACAGACTCAGCCAGAAACATCCTAACCCATTTCTGCCCCTGAACCGGAAGGGGACTTGTCAGATGTGGGAGTACAGGGGTGTCCCCCTGCTGGGGAAGACACTAAGGTTGGGCTTCCTGCCAACCCCAAAAAGGGCCCACCCCCACTGGGGCAAGTTAGGGCGAGCTGTAGGTTTGGAGTGCTTCTTGGTCCACCAACTGGGTTCTGGCCCTTCCAGGTCCTCTGGGGTGAGGGCAATATGGGATCTAAGAAGCAGGAAGCCCCTGTGGCTACAGGCTGAGCACCCCAGACTCAACATGTACAAATACCAGGGCATGCTCTGGTACAGCCTGGTTGTCTATCCCCCCAGGGAACACAGGGCTTCCAGAGAGAGGGAGTCTATCTGTCTCTCTTTCAGTTGCATCTCTGTGCCTAGACTCAGAAATGCTACTGTGAATGGATGTGAGCCAGAAACAGTGCACAACTTAGGACATACTTGGGACTTGCAGGTGGCGTGATGACTAGGGTGCTGAACTCCCACGTGGCGGACCGCAATTTAAGTCTTGGACCCGATGGTTTACTTTCTTACTTTCCCCTTCTATCTCTCTCTGGTCAAATTAAAAAAATAATAAATAATTCTAAAAACAAAGAAGTATGACATACTATTCATCAATGACCCTTTACAATGACTTTTTGGATTCTATTACTAGTAATTAATGAGTAGAGGCCAGACGGTAGTGCTGTGGTAAAACATGGTGCTCTGTGAGGCAGTCCCACATTGGGTCATGGGGTGGTTCCCAGTTCAAGTCTGGCATACTGGACATGTGAATGCCCATGGTCCAGGGCTAGTTGAGGTTGGGGGTGGATTATGGTGTCAGGACCTTGTCAGGAGTGTTGTTTCTCTCTCTCACTCATGGAAGAAACAAATAATGAATAATAAATGATAATTAAGCCTATTCCACAGGTAAAGAAGGTGAGCCCCAGAGATACCAAGTCCTATCCTGCTAAGGGGCACATCTGAGCCTTCTGTTACATGTATTGTCTCTGGGAAAATGTGAATCCAACGAACTGATTAATACAAGAGTAGGGTCTGCAGGAGTGATCAGGAGGAACCTGGAACATTTCTCTCACCAGAGGGTGGCGCCAGGTGAACCTATAAGGACTGTGAGCTAGCCCAAGTGGCTCCAGAACTTTCTGAAACTAGCACTGAGCCCTAACTTCTGGCTGGTCAGGTTTGAGATGTGTGAGCCTTATTTATCGAATTCTGGGACCACCTCTGAAAAACGGGACACTGGAGCCAGCTGGTGGTATGGTGATTAAGGTGATGGATTCTTATATGGCTGACCATGGTTTGAGTCATGAACTCAGCAGCTTGAACTCACGCTGAGTGCGTGTGTATGCCAAAAACCCCAAGAGGAGAATGGAGGAGAAGGGATTGCAGCGTGGCCATTCTGGGGGAGGGGTGGGGTGGTGGTTTCTCACTCTGTCTCTTCCGCAAGCCCACGTGCCCTAAATCTCTCTCTCAAAAAAAAAAAAAAAAAAAAAGAAAAGAAAAGAAAAGAAAGAAAAGAAGAAAGAAGAAAGAAAGAAAGAAAGAGAAGAAGAAAAGAAAAATGGAAACTGTCATCCTGCCCCGTCTGCTCTGCACGCTGTTTTAGGGGCTCAGCTATGTTCCCAGATGTGAACTTGCTTTGAAAACGTTAAAGCTTCACACGAACGGAAAACTGTTTAGTATCAATAAACACAGACCCACCTCTCTCGGGCTCCTGCTTGCCCGCCTTGTCCAGGGTCCAGAGCTCCTAGGCTGCTGGAGACAGGGGTGTCTGGGGCTAGCAGGTGTGGGGAGTGGATCCTGGAACCACACCAACGCTGAGGCGCCCCAGGCCCGGGCCCGGCTGGTGGCTGAAGCCGGCGGGCCAGGTTGCCCAGCTGCGAGCTGAGGAGAATGAAATTATAAAGTTCACCTGGCGCCAAAGGCCGCCCACCTGTGGCAATACGACAGGCTGTCCAGGCTCTGTCCATGTCCCGTGCCAGGGAAAAGGGGGCACAGGGAGATGAAAGCACTGCTGGGACAGCGGAGACAGAGCCACATCCAGGCTAAGGCCTAGTGGTGGGCCTGGCGTCGAAGCCTCGAGGTTAAACCCGCGCGCTGAGGCGAGGTCCAGGGCTTCCGGATTCCAGTCCTTTCCGTGGACTGCTCAGGCTTCCCTCCAATCCTGGGCCTGGGGAGGGGCGGAGCCAGGAGGGCAGAGCAAATCGCAGTCGGGGGTGGGACGCAGGGCGGGGCCTGGGCCGCAGGGTGGGCTGAGGCGGCGTCCAGGTGCTCCGAGAGAAGCGTGTGCCAGCGCAGCCCAGGTAACTATGCCGCTCGTTAGTTCCTCACGGCTTTAAGGAGTCCCTTACTGAGACCTGGGCGTCACGACAGACTCCGAACAACACACCCAAACGCCTTGCCCTGATACAGCTCACGTTGTGGCGACAGTGAAGGCGAACAGGGGGTCCAGGGAAGGCCTTGCTATGGGAGCGACGCTCGAACAGACATTGACGCAGGAACATGGGCTACAGGGACGATTTAGAGTCCCTGTCCCTTACCTCAACGTGAAGCCAGTCACGAAGCCAATCCAGACACTAGCCCTTCTCATCCAGCTCATCCAGCTTGAACGCAAGCTCTGAGAGGCAGGAAGTGACTTATTCACCGATGGAGCGCCAGCTCCGGAACAGGGCTGGCTCCTGGCTCGGTGAGTATTTGTGGAATGAATGAGAAAATGAGACAGGTGTTCAGCGACCACTCATTGCTAGGTCAGGTGCTGGGTTCTCCTAGTGAAGAAGGTTCCAGCCCTGCGCACCTGGGGCAGCACTGGCAACCAGTGACTATGTGGGGTCAGCTCTAGAGCTTGGGGCAGTTGACTGTTTATGGACCAGGCTCTATTATCTCCTGTTGTCCTCTGGCCACATGGGGTGAGGGTACTGTGGTTACATGTGGAGAAGGAGAAGAGACTGGGGGTAGGGGTTGGGGATGCTGGGACATTCCTCTTTGCTTCTGGAACTAGGCTGCAGGAATCCATTGGAGCAGCTAGGCGTTCTGGGTCAGGGTGGGGGACAGGTGGCTCTGAATCCTAACTGCTTCTTATAGCCCCTTAGAAGCAGCCTGGGCAGGCAGTCACCTGCTCTCCTTAATGGCTGGGTCCTGATGTCCCCCCAGGTCTTTGTGGAAGTGTTTTGGCAACTTGCCGGGGAGATATAGGATGCTCAGTTTTAGGCTCCATGAGGCCCCTTGCAGCTGCGTGCCCTAGAACAGGGAGTGTCACTCCTACTCCTCATGTGTAAGACAATAACCTTGTTCATGGGTTGTCATGAAGATGGAGAGAAGGAAGGGCCTGACAACACCTTGAAAGGCCACTGACAGGGCCCTCAGGGGGTGTGATGGTTAGGGCTCTGGACTTAGACCTGGTCGACTGTAGTTTCAGTCCTGGATCTGGTGGCTTGCTTTCTCACTTTCCCTCTGTCTCTCTCTGGTGCCCTATAGCAAATTTAACAATAATAATAATAAATATTTTAAATTATTTTAAAAAAAGACAACCTGGGGACTTGCTTTCTCATTTTTCCTTTACTCTGGCTTTCTATGGTGAGCACATGTGTCCCACAGCAAATTAAAAATACTAATAAAATTAATTATTGGGGATTAGCAGTTAGCATAATGGTTATGTCGCTGGACTCCCATGTAGTCGACCACGGTTCGCGTACCGGACGCAGTGGCTTAAAGTCACGCCGGGCGCGTGTGCATGCGTGCCCGAGATCCAGAGAGGAGAATGAAGAAAAAGGGATTGCGGTGTGGCCATCCCCCCTGGGAATGGATTTCTTGCTTTCTCTCTGTCTCTCTCTCTGTCTTTCTGGCAAGCACACGTGCCCTATAGCAAAAACCTCTCTCTCTCTCAAAAAAAAAAATCTTTAAAAAAGGAAAAAGAGCAGCTGAGGACGGGTTAAAAACCTCACTTGCACTCAGTGTCCAGCCATATGCCCTGTCAGGGCTGTATCTGCCCCGAGGGGGCGCCCTTTCCTAATTTTCACAAAAAACTCATAATGGCCTGGCAGCTGTAATGGGAACAGCTCTATCAGAAAAGAGGAGGGCTGGTGCCCTGGAAACCCTCCAGGCCCCGCTGAGGTTGAAGCAGATTCCCCCTGATGTGAGACTAGCATTTCTAGGGGCAGAGGTGGTTGGAGAACCAGGGTATTTGACCTGTATGAGGAGTACTGACCTTGGGTTGTGCTCGATGATCCACCCATGATCTGACCCTCGCTTGCTGAGGTGGCATCCCGTGGAGGATTTCCAGGTTCTGGGTGCTGACCATTCTCTCCATCCTCCAGCTCCCCTCCTGCCCATCCCCACCCCCAAACAGATAATAAAGTTCTTATATTTCCATCACATTTCCTGGTCTAAGTAAAGAGTGTCAAGAAGTGACAAGTTAAAAGCTGCTGATTACAGTGGCTTCAAGGCAGTGACCGGTGAAAAGAGCCAGCATCAGACATAATGTGGTCCAGCCTGTTTTGGGTGTCTAACTCTGCAATTAATCAGCATTGAGGTGGGGGTAAGGAGGTGGAGGAAAGTTCTGTGCAGCTCTCACTCAAAGAGGTGGGAACCTTGCAGTTAAAGGAACAGAACTTCCTCCCCTCTTGGGAGTGCTGGTGGGCTCTGAGGATGGAGAAGGCAGGGACCAGGGTAGCCTGACTAAGAAATTAGTTTGGGGAGCTGGCAGGTGGCATGGTGGTTGAGGGCGCTAAACTCCCACATGGCTGACCATGGTTTGAGTCCTGGACCTGGTGGCTTGCTTTCTCACGTTCCTTCTCTCTCTCATTCTCATTCTGTCTCTCTCTGGCCAAATTTAAATAAATAAATAAATAAAGTTAAATAAAATAATTATTTTAAAAATTTAGTTTGGTTATTTTGACACATTTATTTATTTATTTATTTAATTGTCAGGGGGCATATGTACTTGCCAGAGAGAAAGCACCCCCAAGTGAGGCATGTTTGTGCCACAATACTTTTTCTTCCATTTCTCCATCCCATCAGGATTTTGGGCATGCACCCACATGCTTGTTTCTTTTTTTTTTTTTTTTTTGGAGAGATTTTCACTGTAGGGCGCGTGCGCTCGCCAGACAGACAGAGAGAGACATAGAGACAGAAAGCGAGAAATCAACCCCCAGGGGGGATGGTCACGCCGCAATCCCTTCTCCTCCATTCTTCTCTCGGGATCTTGGGCACGCACGCACACGCGCCCGGCGTGAGTTTTAAGCCACTGGTCCAGGACACGAACCGCGGTCGACTACGTGGGAGTCCAGCGACATAGCCATTACGCTAACTGCTGGTTCCCTACCTGGCTTGTTTCTTAAGCTGCCACAGCCAGGATTCAAACCACAGTTCACCATGTGGGATCCAGCTCTATATGGAAAGGGCTTAACCACTGCACTACTGGGCCAGCCCTGGTTTGGTTATTTTGAATGTAAACCCATATTGTTGCCTGTCTGGTGGTGCACTAAACTGCAGTGCTGGAAACCACATGCCCAACCAAGGGTTGGGTCCATCCCTGGGTTGATCTGAAAACATGCAGGTGCTCGCATGTGTGCCTAAGATCTTAATGAGCTGGAGGGCTGGAGGAAAGGGATCACAGTGTGATGAGACCCCCATCACAACGCTTTTTTCCCCCTCTCTTTCACATGCATGTGCACGAGCCTTCTATCATGAATAAAATAAATAAACTTATTTAAAAATCATATTGTTGGTTGGTGGCTAGGGTCTCCTCTTCCCCCCATCCTTCTAAATCCTCAGGATTATCATGCAATCCAATTTAGCAGCCTGCCCTCTGGGGGCCTGAATGTTAGAACAGATGAGGCGGATGGAGACTCACATGCACATAGAAGCATTTAATCAGTCTGGCAGGAAGGACTTGTTTATAGAAGTGATTTCATTTATTTTACTCCCAATATCAAGCAGGCTTGGCGCAGAATAACCCTTTCCTCTGGATAGGCTGGTAAACTTTGCAACTTGTTTGTAAGCTTGTTTTCAACACATGGCTCAGTAGGAGTAAGAAAGTTGGAAGTTCCAACTTTCCAACTAGTTCCAGCTCACACTTCTCATTTTTGAGTCAGCCAAGTTATTGATTTTGATGGCGCTTGTAGCATCTGGCACACTACAAATCTGGATTGGGGTTCTGGCATTCCCATGGCTGGTTCTGCAGTGGTGGGGCCCCTTTTGGGCTGTTTTCTGGGATCCAGGGGGCTGCCAGCTGGACCTCAAGAGGAAGCGGAACACAGATCTGGACCACGGAAGTGAACCAGGATAGGGAAGCTAGGCCAGTTGAATCCCTTGCCACAGAAACCTCTGAGGCTGCAGGAGGCCTTGATCTTCTAACCTTTTGGCCCCTTGAGGATCAGTAAATTAATCCACTCAAGAAGCTTGGATGTTTGTATGACTCTCCCCTTTGTATACTCTTGGGGCTGAGAGACCAGACAAGACTAAAACCCACAGAGGGGTCACAGGGGAGGGCCGGGCAATTAACCCCGCATCCTGAGCAGGGTGGAGTTCAGGGGTCAGTGGGAGTAGGGGTGGGGCTGACCACCAGCTGCCATGCCTGCCCAGGAGTAAGCCTCTGGGGGCACCCACAGGTGGAATTCCAGCCAGACCAGCCTTAAGGAAGAGAGGGGCTGGAAGGTCTTGTTCTTGCCTGCCTGCCAGACCATCCCGGGCCTCTACGCAGCTTTTCCATTTCCTCCTATAGCCATTCTGGCCCTGGACAAGCTTCTTCTGGGGGCTGGGACCCCTGCCCCCTTCTTCTGAAACAGCAGCTAATTCCTCCCCCACTGTTGTCCTCTCTTTCCACTCTACTTTCGGGGAGAATAACCTGTGATAATTTTTTCTTCTTCTTTCTGGCAACTAATGGACTCCTTAAATAGCAAAAATTGTGGCCTGTAATTAAGATCTTGCTTTTTAAATGATTAATCATTGTAACCCCTTTGAGCAGCATCCTACTTTCCACTCTTCTCACATTGAAATGCAGATCAGCAAGGGAGGGAGGTGCTCCCAAGCCACTGAGGAGCAATTAAACCTTCCCAGCTGTCACTCGCTGCCTTGGCTGCCTCCCTGGCCTGTCCAGACGCCACCGAGGAGAGCCAGGACCCTGCTCTGCAGCAGCGGCGCCAGACTCGCCAGCGGCCTGGCTTGGGGGCACCCGCCGGTCTGCCTCCGGGCTGACCCTTGCCCTTGCACAGCAGCCCAGAAACTGGCTCTTGGAACCTCCTAGGGAAGCAGATAAGGTTTGCTGAGCACTTCCTATATGCCTGGCACTTTAGGAACAAGATCTTATTTGATTTTCACAACAGCCACCTGAAAAAGATGTGAAGGGCTCCGCTTTCTACAAGGAGACAAGTGGAGGTGCAAATTCACAAAATTAGTCAATGGTCATACAAGGATTTCTATTTGTGTGTGTGCATGTGTGTGTAAGAGAGATTTTTGCTATAGGGCACATGTGCCTGCCGGAGAGACAGACAGAAAACAAGAAAGCACCCCCCGCCCCAGAGGGGATGGCCATGCTGCAATCCCTTCTCTCTCATTCTCCTCTTGGGATTTTGGGGACCCACACACATGTGCCTGGTGTGAGTTTGAAGCCACCAGGTCAGGTCTGAGACTCTTCACTGCTGTTGACTATGTGGGAGTCCAGCTATGTAACCATTACGCCATCTGCTGGTCCCAATACAAGGATTTCAAACCAGGATGGGCTTGTCCCAGATCTGGGCCTGCTGTATTCAGTCTTTCACCAGGCTGGCAAGAGGTCACCTCACTGAACCCACATGCACACACATGTTTATACACACAGTTCATCAGCTTGCGAAGGGCTCTCTGGGTTGATCTCTTTTAAGCCATCCTTGTAAGCAATAGCTGTCATTTTTCAGCCTGCAGAAGCCTTTTCTCTTTGATACATAGACAGACTGACAACATAATCTGGGGTTGATAGATTGTTAAAGCTGGGGAACTTGGAACCCCGAGTCCATACCCTTCATTTCATTCAAGAGGACGCTGGGGCCTGGGGCCAAGAGTCCTGCACTCAGCAGGGTACCAGACCCACAGTAAGTGCCCCTGGATCTTATGAATGAGTAAACTTGGGAAGACTTACACACTGCTTTTTAGGGTTCTACCGTTGCATTTTTCAGAAAGAATTTGCCTGTATATGTGTGTGGGGGGATGGAGATGGGGATTGGAGATGAGGGGCTCCATCCTTAATAGCTGTTCCAGAGGAAGTGGCAGGAGAGAAAGGGGGAGCAGACTCAAGTGTGATCAGGGCTGCCGTGGGTGATGCATATCTCTGCACAGATGTGCTGGGCTGCAAAGACGGAAAGCCCTGCAGTCTTCTCGCTAAGCCAAGATGTGTGCCTGGATAGGCCTGGGCATAGGCTGGAGCCGGGCGATGAAATAGCCAGCATGTTGCAGAAGGGAGTCCCCTCTTGATCTGTGTAATGGACAGCCAATTCTGATGGAAACTCATACTATGAATAGTCTAATGGTGATCCACTTTGTCAGGATCCTGTGGGGTCCTGGCAGATACGTTGGGTAGAACATAGCACCTTCCCCATGGAGGACAATGTGGCAAGATATGACAAAATTATGAATGCATATGAGCTTTGGCCCAGCAAGCGTCCTGGGAATTTACCCTTTGAATTCACTCATGCTGTGAGAGCTGACTTCCGTGCAAGACTAGTTGTTGCAGCAACATATGGGAAGCCAAAGGTTGGAAACAACCCAAATGAGTCTCAAGAGAGGGCTGGTTAATGTAATACCATGTAGCTGAGCAAAAGAATCAGGAAGTTCTTCATGCTCTGATAGAGAAAGGTCTCAAGGATCTCTATCACATGTAGTCATCGATTAAAAAGAAAAAGCAGAGCCAGACAGTGGTGTGGTAGTTAAGGCAGCTGGAACTGTGCAGTTCGAGTCCCGGACCCGGTGGGTTGAGAAACACACCAGATAAGTATGTCCAAAATCTCAAGAGGAGAATGGAGCAGAGTATATTGCTATGTGGCCATCCCCTTTAGATGTGCTTTCTTACTTTTCCTTTCTTTCTTTCTGTCTCTCTAGCGAATGCAAATTAAAAAAAGAAAAGGAAAGGATAGTATATAGAACATGCCACCTGTGGGAAAAAAAAACAGGAGGAAAAAAAGAATCATGTTTGCATTGGCTTGTTTCTATACAAAGCGCTACAGAGATATATAAGAAGCTAATGATTGTGATTATCTTTTAGGGAGTGGTAAGAACTGGGCAGATGGAAGACAAGATCATGAAGGAGATTTCTCACTGCAGAACTTCCAGTTTTTGTATGAGGTAAACAAAATTCAAAAAAATTAATATGGACGATCGTCTTCCCTCACTGATCTGGTACATGCTTACTTATAAGCTCATTCAGATGTCATCCCCCCATCCCGCAAATGGTCCCCATTCTCTCGGGTATACACACCCACCCCTTGTGGCCTGGCTGTGTGAGTATCCAGGGTTTAGTGCGATGTTGAGCCTGTTGTTCCCGTTTCTTCCTGGGGGACATTCCGGCTTTTTCTGCCTCTGACATAGCTGGTCTTCTGCTAGGGCTCCCTAGTAATCAAGGCATGGCTAAGTGCCCCAAATTGTCACACCTCATGTATTGAGCAGGACTGAGGTCTCTCCTCCAGCCATGTGTATGTGGCATATGCACAAACACAACCATACACACACACATACACATATGTGTACACAAGCCTAGCCTGGGCCATTCTACCTACATGTGATGGGTGCTTTGGCCAGTGAGGAACAGGAGACAGAGGACTGTGAGTGGGTACTCAGAAGGGAGGATGTTGGAGAAAAGGAGAAGCTTTTCAAGGCCAGAAGATAATATAGTGGTTAAAGTGCTGGACTCCCATGTGGTTGACTACAGTTTGAGTCCCATACCCAGCTGCTTGAAACATACCAGGTGCATGTGCATGCATGCCCAAAATCCTGAGAAGAGAAGGAAGGAAAAGGGATTGCAGTATGGCCATCTCCTCTGTGGATGATTTCTTTCTTTTTTTCTTTTTTAAATAATTATTTATTTTATTTATTCATTTATTTTTTAGTTTGAGCAAAGAGAGACAGAGAGTGAGAATGAGAGAGAGAGGAAGTGAGAAAGCAAGCCACCAGATTCAGGACTTGAACCCTAGTCAGCCATGTGGGAGTGTCCAGCACCTTAACCACCAAGCCACCTGCTGCTCACCTGTGGGTGATTTCTTGCTTTCTATCTCTCCAGCAAGCACATGTGCCCTATAGCAAAAACAAACAAACAAACACCCTCTAAAAATAATAAATAAATAAATAAATAAATAAATAAATAAATAAATAAATAAATAAGGGGCTCTTCTGCCTCTGGCCATGACCTCACACACTCCTAGTCCCAGGTAGACATTCCCCTGGACTGCAGGCAGCACTGGTCCTGAGTGCTCACACATATGTGCTCAGGAGACAGACCTTAGCTCTGCTCTTGCTCTGTGTGACATGCACTGTGTCAGGATGTGTCTAGAATGTTGGCAGGTCTGGAAGCTGAGGCACAAAGAAGTCTACTGGCTCGTGAGAGTTCCACAGCAGGTCAGTGGCAGAGTTAGGAGTATGCTGAGGTAGGCCAGCCCAGTGGCTATGCTCTTGCCCTCATTGCTGGTTGCCTCTACACCCGGGAGATAGCTGAGCTTCCTCTTGGCCTCCAGGGGCCTTTGGAGGGGTTTGTACACAGACACACCTTGTCCAGGGTAGGGTGCATAATCGGTGCTCAGGATGCATGAGTGTCACCATTAGGGCATTTCTCCTTATCCCCAAAAGAGGCAGCTCACTGGTCTTTGGTCAGGGAATGCCATAGTGGCTTCAGGTTTGGTGGCATGGTCCTTCTGGGCAAGTTTCAGAGTGAGTGCCTTAGGGAGCATGGGAGGCCTCTGGAAATGCCCTTGCTGCCCAAGACCTCCCGGGGCAAGGGTACCTCAGGGTTCACCACCAGGGGTGGCTTGGCTCACAGTGTCAGAATCAGTGTCTTCACACCCATCATGGCTAGTGTTCTCCCATTGTGACTCCTAGTGTGCCACCCCTCTATCACAAAGTACCAGGCTAAGAACAGGGGCTCTGGGGTGTTCGGCTGAGTCAGAAAGGATGGTTTCTGAATGTAGGTAATTGATGGTCAGGGGCTTCCACAAGTGCAGTCTTGTTCATCTCCCATAGAGGAGGATGGTAGTCTTGGGTTCACCAGCTTCTCTGATAGCTCTGGGACTTGTGCCACAGGCTTATTTGACATCCGCCCGCTCAACAACACACCACACTTGCCCATCAGAAGAAAGGACCAGTGAACTCTAGTCTATTACAGCCAGTGGCTACCAGGGGCACTGGACCACTTCAGCAACCACCAAGGCCTAGGGAGGGAACCTTGCTGATAAACGGGATTCATCTGGCTCATAGCTTGCCCCCTCCCCATCACTACCCACAAGCCTGCTTGGCCTGGGGGAGTGAGAATGAAGGCCCAGAGGCTCCTTCCTCTCTCCACCCCCACCCTGCATTCCAGAACACCTCCCGAAGCCAAGCGCACTGTGGGCTGGGCCAGTCCAGCCCAGCTCATTCCCATCTTCCCTGAGCCTGATGAATGCCAGGGCAGCTTAGGGAGTCACAAATTAGGTTGCTAAAGGCATCCCCAGCCTGGCTGGAAACACCTCCCTAGCTGAAAGGAGGCATGTCTGGTCCAAGCAGACGTCTTTATTCAACCGTAATTGACGTTTCACAGACGTCTGTAACTACGTCTGGAGGGACACAAAGCACCCCCATGCTTGGCCTAGGCAGCCTCTTTATGTCGTCCCCTTTCATGTGGCAGTCAAAAGTGTAGGAGCCGCCTGGGTCATCCTGCCCGGTCCCTGGAGCCAGGACAAAGGCAGGCGCTGCACTCAGAAGCCAGTGGGCCTTTACCTCTTGAGCACGTTATGCTAATCCAACATTAGCCAGGACCCTTCCTGCATATCGATGGGCGATGGGCGGCAGGCACACCCTGGGGATGGGCAGGCCCTGCCTCACCCAGTATGGAGTCAGTCTTGAACCAGTGGGTCTATGAACCCAGACTTAGTTGGCCAAAAAAAAGGAGAGGGAAGAGAGGTTGGAGCCTAGCGGGGTTCTTAGCCTGGGAGCCGACTTGGACTCAGCTCAGCAACCACAGCCCACTATTGCCAGGTCCCAAAGAGAAAACGGGGATTCAAACTGCATGGTTCGCTGTGTGGGATCCAGCCGCCTTCACCACCACACCACTAGCTCGTCTCTTTTGTTGTTGTTAAGTTTATTCGTGGAAAGAGAGAGAGCTGGGGCAGTATTACAGGGGCTGGAGGATCCATGTCAAGGGGATTTAGGGAAGGGTAACCCAGCTCTAACCCCAGTCTCCACGGTAGTGATTGGTTTAGGTATGGAAGTTTATTACACCATCAGATAGTTATCTACGGCAGTTTACAAACGACCTCAGAACTGTAACCAGTAACCGTCATTTATTTTGCTCCATAAATCTGTCATGGGCCAGTAATCAGTGGTGTGTATCTGTATCTGCCATCAGTTGGGGCACTCTGATGGGGGCTGGAGGCTCCATCTCGAAGGGGGTTTAGTCACAGTTACAAGTTGGTGCTGGCTTTGGGCCAAGGGCTGCAATTACTCCTTGCTTGGACTTCCTCAGACCATGGCAATCTGATTTCAAGAGCAAATGTCCCGGGAACCAGCAGTTAGCGTAATGGCTATGTTGCTGGACTCCTACGTAGTCGACTGCGGTTCACATCCCAGACCCGGTGGCTTAAAACTCACGCCGGGTGCATGTGCGTGTGTGCCCAAGATCCCGAGAGGAGAATGGAGGAAAAGGGATTACGGCGTGGCCATCCCCTCTGGGGGGGTGATTTCTCACTTTCTGTCTCTATATCTCTCTCTGTCTGGCGAGCGCACGCACCCTATAGTGAAAAACCTCTCAAAAAAAAAAAAATAAATAAGAGCAAATGTCCCAAGAAACAAGTAGAGACTGACAGTTTCTTTTTTTTAAGAATTATCTTATTTAACTTTATTTATTTATTTTTAATTTGACCAGAGAGAGAGAGATCGAGGTGGGAGGGAGTGAGAATGCAAACCACCAGGTCCAGGACTCAGATCATGGTCAGCCATGTGAGAATCCAGTGCCCTTAACCACCACACCATCTGCTGGCCCTCTTTTTTCTTTTCTTTTCTTTCTTTCTTTCTTTCTTTCTTTCTTTCTTTCTTTCTTTCTTTCTTTCTTTCTTTCTTTTTTTTTAAGAATTACTTTATTTAATTTTATTTATTACTACTATTAATTTGACCAGAGAGAGAGAAGGTGAGAAAGCAAGATGCCAGGTCTGGGACTTGAACCGTGGTCAGCCACGTGGGAGTCCAGCACCTTAGCCACCATGCCACCTGCTGATCCTAGAGGCTGACAGTTTCTTAATGTCTGGGCCTAGAAGCCAGGACAATGTCATTTTTGTCTTTTTCTTTTCTTTTTCTTTTCTTTTTTTTTAACTTTCCAGAGAATGTGTGTGCTCACCAGAGGAGGGAGAGAGAGAGAGAAATAAGAAAGCACCCCATGGGGAATGGTCATCTTCAATCCCCTCTCTTCCACCTCTCCCGCTTTTGGGATTGTGGGTATGTACACACATACCTGGCATGTTTTTCAAGCTGCCCGGTCCAGGACTCAAACTGCACAGTTGGTCATATGGGATCTAGATGCCTTAACCACTACACTACCAGCTGGCCCTTTTTTTAAAAAATCGTTTTTGAAAATTATTTATTTAATTTTATGATTATTATTTTAATTTGATCAGGGGTGAGAATGAGAAAGCACGACTCTAGGTCTGGGACTCAAACTGCAGTAGGTCATGTGGGAGTCCAGCACCTTAACCACCATGCCACCTGCCGGCCCCCGGTGGGCCCTTTTTTTAAAGTTTATCTTTTTTTTTTTTTTTAAGTTTTGCTATAGGGTATGTGAGCTCACCAGAGAAGAGGGAAAGTGAGAAAGTAGGGATGGCCACCCACATTCCCACTTACTCCATTCCCCTCTCAGGACTTTGGGCACACAGGCACACATATATGCCCAGAATGTTTTTCAGGCCAATGGGTACAGGACTTGAAGCATGAAGTTGGCCACCTTCATCACCATGCTACCAGCTGGCCCTAAAGGTTTGTCTATTTTACTCATGGGGAGAGAGAGTCAAAGAGGTAGAGAGCGCGAGAAAAGCATCCTTAACAGGGTTCTTGCCCTTCCCCCAGCCCTGCAACTTTTCAGGATCCCAGGTGTGTGTGCAAGGACCTGGTATGTC